TCTTAATTATCATGTTAAGACATTTATATTCTAGTAAATTTCACATGTACCCTTCCTTGTAAGATGCACCATAAGGTGGTCCCACCAACTACTCTCCCTCCACCTATCCTCCCCCGGCCCCTCCACGCTCTCTCTCCTTTCCTCTTCTTCTTGGGCTATAATTAGGTTATAGCTTTCACAAGAAAGCTATAAATTGGTTTCATAGTCTCCTAAAACAAAATAACTTTCAACCCAGGGTCCTGTATCCAGCTAAACTGAGTATCATTTATGATGGAGAAATTAAATAATGACATTCACATGTTGAAGAAATTTGCCATAACTAAATCAGGTCTCCAGGATATTCTCAGACCTATCCCCCATAATGACCAGCGCAATCCTCCACCATGTTCTCTTTTTAAACAAACATCCTTTTCAGGTTTAAGTGTATCTCAATTGTTTTAAACAGGAATATTTTCAGAAGTATTTATATTTGAATATTGGCGCAAGATAAGGAATTATAAAAGATTCAAGTTCTGAGAGTTTCTTTTTCAGCACTTGGTGTAAGCCAGCATTGGGAAGGACTGTCGCCCGTATTATCTGGCTTAGAGAATAATATCCAAGTTTGAGAAGAAAGAGTGTCAATCTGCTACTCATCTCCTGAGACTCTACTTGGATAGAGCCTCTTCTCCCATGTTTCTAACCCTTTTATTTCTCTGTCAGAAAGAAAGAAGTGGCATTGCTCTAACTCCAAAATCATCTCAGGGAAGGTGACTGTCAGAATTCTCATGGTGTAGTTTCAAACCAGGGCTTTCCCCCTAATGAGCTAAAATCTACAGATAGTCTTGGAGCTTTTTCCTGGCTGTCAGCCAAGCCCTGCTGTTCTGCGCTGTTGAATGCCATTATCAGCCATGCAAAACTGTTGCTGTTTTCTGCCTTCCCTGTAGGAAGGAGCCTGAGGTCGCCTCCCCTGCTTTGTAGATTTCATTGCCATCAACCTCAGGCTAGTCCACATCTGGCTTTTCATCACCTTCTATCCTCCTAATTCAAACCCTGTCCAATTTTAACCCTACACCATTTATACCCAATATTTGAGAGTTCTTATATCCTTCTACTGTGTCATTAGTACCTTTTAATTATTTAAACATCCAATAAAATACTTAGTGGCACGTATTCACAGCTCAACTTCAGAGATTTAAAATAGCTAAGTTAGAAATTTTGATGATTTGATCTGAGTTATGAAGCTAGCCTCTTCACAAGAGTATAGCGTTTAAGTAGCATGATCAATGCACAGGTCCCCAAATAGCATTTTGGCTAGAGGCTGAAAAACATTTGAAACGGAAGCCCTACGAAGAAGGCTGCACTTGAGTATCTTTTTTATCTTTCCTATTCCCAGATTTACTGGTCTCCATCACCTCCATATTCCACAAGCGGAGGTGTCCGTCCTCGTGAGCAGTGACAATGATAGGTGGCTGAGCTTCTGGTAAACTGGCACTTCCTGGATGTTTTTTGTCCGCTGGCTGTTGCTCTCCCACGGTCACATCTGTTTGCTCACCTATTGGAGAAACTAATGAGCTACTAGAGAATTTGCAATACTTGGAATTCTAAATCTTATGAAACATACAAGGCAGGCAAGAAAATAGCAAAAAACACATATTCTTCTCCCCAGAATTTTGTTAACCCCAGAGAACATCAATCAGGGAAGAGTCCAAAAAAGCATTAAAAAGTAGAATCTGGGATCCATCCATTTTAGAAAAATCTATAAAACTTATGTTTTGCCCTATTGCGAAGGTATCCATACTATACCTGACGGCTAAAACTACATATTCATCCAGTATAAGGCTTACGTATCCAGAATGGCTTAGCTATCTAGTATAATTTTTGGAAGAATAGGCTAAAGAATAAGAAGCTTGAGAATATTTTGGGTTCTTTAAAACCAAGAATTAGAACTTAAAAAAGGCATCATCATAATCGAAATTCTGCTTCTTAGACTTGCGAATTGTATAGCACCTCAATGTTTAGTCACAAAAACATACCTTCATTTAAAGTATTCTATTAACTCCCTGTTCCTAAGGAATTGTTTTGTCACACAGAAGAGAGGTGAGTTCATACTGACCTTTACCTTCACTGTCATGTATGCTTTGCTTGCTTCCCTGAATCAAGACAGAAAAAGAAAATATTTCTATGATATTAAATACTGAATTAGTAAGTTCTCTAGATAGTTGAGTTTGCTTTTTATTTTTTATTTATTTACTTTTTTGGCCGGGGCTGGGTTTGAACCCACCACCTCCGGCATGTGGGGCTGGCACCCCTACTCCTGAGTTTGCTTTTCTAAGCATTAATTTTAAAATCACTTTAAATGTTATCTTTTGAAGACAGTGTATTCAGAGCTTTTCATGCCCAGAAAGAAAGAATCTGTAAGTCAACATTTTTCTAGTGGCTTAGGGATAGCATAATAAAGAAAGTAATTAAATGCCTAAGCGTGTTCAGTTCTTGGTGTACAATTCAGGCATCCTCAAACTACAGCCCACCAAGGACATTTATCCGGCCTGCCAGGTGTTTTTGCCACTGTTGCCTGTCCTACTTAGCAGCCGACTCATCCCGGGGCTTGCAGTCTGGCCCTCCAACGGTCTGAGGGACAGTGAACTGGCCCCCTGTTTAAAAAGTTTGAGGACCCCTGGTAATTATCTGTAATTCTATCAACAACCATACAACTTAATCTCTATTATTCCCTTTTTACTGAGGAGAAAACAGACACTCAGAGTGACATCTCTAAAGCTAATCAGATAATAAATGGAGGGCTTGAATTCAGGTACAAGGCTGTCTTTTATGTCCCTATAAGTTTACTCTTTCCACCATGCTTGCTGGTGGTTTAAAAATAATTTTTGCAGTGAAAACTAAATGCAGCGTGTAAAAATACATAAAATTGGAGCTGAGAACACAGTTTGAAAACTGTGCATTATGTTATGTGTTGTAATGTAATTACATATATTACCTGCTGTCTCTTCTCCCTGTGAAATATGCATAATACTTCTTAGTAAAAGAGAAAATCTGAAATTACTTTATTATTTTGCACGTGTAAAAATAACATGCACAATGTCTTTTATTCATGATCATGTATTAATTATTTACAGATGTGAAAGCTGTGAAACTATAAAATCATTGAAGTGTTTAGACAGTGATTGTGGGGGGAAACCAAAAAAATTAGTTTTTATATACACACAGAATTTTTCCACGTTTACCTTATCTCAAAGGAGGGGCGCAAATGCTCAATATCACTATATTTAAATCAATGATGACCATAACAGGAGGATATTCTGTTTCCTGCTTACCTTGCTACTCTGTGGACCCTTGCTAGACTCACAATGGGATGAAGAACATACAGATTCCTGACTTGATCTCCTACAAGGGGAGGGAGGAAGCCCAAGGATGAAAAGTTAAAACATTCTGTCCTACTCAAAGAGTGGTCTTCTCTGCTTTAATGTCAACAGATTACTTCTTTCAACATCTGTAGACCCTGAGCCACTCATGAAATAAATCACTTCTTACATTTTGTCTAACAAACGTTCATCAGTATGGTGTTGGCAGAGACTATTAGGGAGCCTCAGCAAATAAGGTTTATTGCTACCTGGGTCTGGAAAATAAAAGTAGGGCCCATTCCACTTCTAAGGCTAGAGTTAGTTCTAGAGGCTCTTACACTGAAATGGTGGGGGGTGGTTTGGCCCTTCAAGTCTGTGTGGCTTCTGGTCCATACTGTCTAGCTCCAGCCTGGTCCTGTCTCTGCCATGCTCTGCTGAAATGGGCAGAAAAGTGGCGAGGGTGCTGATGCAGATGCATACAGAACAAGCTCTCAAAATATTCTCGAAATAGTTTCCAAGCCAAGGGGTAGGAAGGATATTATGCTCTGGCTCAGCACTAGGTGACCCAAAACTAGCACAAAAACTTTTTTGATTTCTCTCCAAAGATGTAATTCACATTGTCTATCACCTACAAACCTGAGGTCTCAAGCAAATATAAATAGGGAAAAGTACATTGGTGTTTTTTGGGGGTTTTTTTGTTTGTTTGTTTGTTTGTTTTTGAGGCAGAGTCTCATTTGGTCAGCCTCAGTAGAGGGCCCTAGCATCACAGCTCACAACAACCTCAAACTCTTGGGCTCAAAGCCATTCTCTTGCCTCAGCCTCCCGAGTAGTTGGGCCTACAGGTGTCTGACACAACACCTAGCTATTTTTTAGAGACAGGGTCTCCCTCTTGCTCAGGCTGGTCTCAAACTCCTGAGCTCAAGCAATCCACCTGCCTTGGCCTCCTAGAGTGTTAGGATTACAGGCATGAGCCACCACACTCAGCTTTGAAAAATACTTTTTCTTAGATACTTAAAAACAACCTCCTGCTCCATCAGAAGTGAACGGAGATTGCTTAGTTTTAGGGGATGGTGTATGAAACGTCTTGCCATAGGACATTTCATAATAGTCCTGCAAATCCATCCTTACTTCTTCACACCACTGCTTCACACCACTCTAACTGCATTAGAGTTTGGCTAAAAGTGTGATCAGGTGAGCATTTTTCCATTTCTGCCACTGCTGAAAAGGACAATGAGACTTGGCAAGGGGTCCACACAGCACATTATATCCCTGTGGACGACCCACCTACAGTAACTGGGAAGAAAGTTGAAGCCACGTAGTCAACCCAAATTGTGTCTTCCTTCAATTGTACCTTCCTTAACACTGGGATGAAAAGAACTCTTTTTATATCACCCATGTAGGTCCCAGACATTATCCCTGGATCAGCCAGAGCTGAGTTACCTTATACATTCAGGGGTACGGAAGAGGAACAGTATGTCATTAATTCTAAAGCGCTTGGGATCCAACTCAGAGTTTGCAGGGGAGCACTCTTCAGGTCGGAACCTGGAAATAAGTGCATATTTACATAATAAAAATTAATAAATTAGGTAACTTATACTACTTTTATATATCCCCTGAAGAGCTAATTAATTCCTCTAATGTGAGTATCATTGAACATGAAAAGAAGACCCAGGGGAATAGGGTTTGAACATATCTTTAAAAAGATTTTGTAAAATAGCATAATCATTAGTAGTTTAAAAGTCTCTTAATTAAATGAATTGGTCTAGTCTATCTGCCCATAGGTCAGACCGTGGGTTTATATAGTCCTATGGTGCAAGGTCTTGGAAGTTTCATACAGTCCCGCAGGGGTCCTCAAACTTTTTAAACAGGGAGCCAGTTCACTGTCCCTCAGACCATTGGAGGGCCAGACTACAGGCCCCAGGATGAATCAGCTGCTAAGCAGGACAGGCAGCGGTGGGAAAAACACCTGGAGGGCCAGATAAATGTCCTCAGCGGGCCGCATGTGGCAGGCAGGCCATACATAGTTTGAGGACACCTGGTTCAAAGGACAGAATTCTCTTTGAATAAGTGGAGTGATGAATTTGAATTAAACGTGGTTATTACTCTCATGGAGCTCACATTTACAATTGAGAGGAGAGGGCGGCGCCTATGACTCAAAGGAGTAGGGCGCCGGCCCCACATGCCGGAGGTGGCGGGTTCAAACCCAGCCCTGGCCAAAAACTGCAAAAAAAAAAAAAAAAACAATTGAGAGGAGACGGATACGTCCTTCAGTGTTGACACTGCTTTTGCTGCTTGAGTCTCATGTTCACCCAGATTCCAAGGAACCAACTCCTTCCTAGGCAGTTTCCGGGGGAGAAGAGCAATAGTCCCTCAACACCTGCACTTTGTGCTTGTCTCTGAAAGCAATTCTTATAACAAAAAGACCTTTTTCTGCACTGGAAATTATTTCTAATTTGAGCAGATGAATGATGAAGGAGTATCTTGGAAGTGAACCAAACTCAAGAGGAGCCTATGGGCTCGATGTCTTGGTGAGCTCAGATTTTTTAGCTGTTTCTGCTCTGCAGATGAGCTGAATGATGAGGTAAATTATTCATCAGCAAGAACAATATTGAGTTTGGGGCTTTCAGCATAGTTATTTCACCCGATTAGGGAAGTCAAAGTTTGAGGTAGACATAGAGATGGCCTCCACCACGAATATGGAGTATGGAAACCATTTTCCATCTTAGAACCTTTAGAGCTGGGCCAAAATTACCTTCTACAGTTTTATGCTAAATTGCATTTTTTGAAAAATACTGCAGTGATTCCAAATCAACTGTTTTTATATAATCATCTGCCTATGGGAAAGGGACATGAGGTATGCCACACCATAGTTGTTTTTCTCTGAGTATTGAATTTGTATTATCGCTCAACAAAATACCTGGCTCTTCAACAAGGAGGATCTTCATTTTTGAGTTGGGATTGGATAAGGAGAGTTGCGACCCCCCCCCCCAAGCAACCCGTATAGCCTATGGCTAGGAGGAGTGAGAGTTAGGAAACCCCTGTAGCTCGATAATGGAACACCTTGGTGAAAAGGACATGGGGAGGGATTTAGCGCTCTTAACAAGCATGAGAGCTCATGAGACGAGAGCATTAGTGAATTGGCAGTCTCTGCACTTGTGGTGTTAAGAATCACGAGATCAGCTCTATATTAGGCTACAGGAGCAGACAGTTAGGAGCGTGCGTGCATTCTGTCCACTTACTCTGACTCTGTTGCTTCTCCTGCCTGCAGAACGCAGTATGATACCTCTTTCTTTTCTTTTCTTTTCTTTTTTTCCTTCAGTTTTTGGCCAAGGCTAAAAGCAGGACAGGCAGCAGGACAGGGCTGGCGGTGCCCTACTCCTTTGAGCTACAGGTGCTGCCCCATGGCATCTCTTTCTATGAAAGACTACTAAGACTTATTCTAAGACTGCTTTACCCTCAAAGACTCTCTCCCTTCTGCTAAAGCAAGTAGCCCTCGGGCACCCAAGAGCAATCGTTCCTGAGCTAGATAGCAAGGTGGTCTGTATCCAGAACCTGGATAGGCAGGAGGGTGGAGACCATGTTGATCCCAGGCCCCAACCAGTGGCAACGAGACCCCCTCTAAAGGCTGTAGCATCAAGACTTTGTGTTTTTAGTCTATGCTGATAGACTTTTCTCTTGTAGTAGTGAGTCATACCTAAGTGGACACTTAGAGTGTGAGAACATTAATAAGAGGGTGAGGCAGTGTGCAGTGCACGGCGGTGTGGGTACAAAATGACAGGTGTACAGTCTGTGAGAAAAGCCAAAGGTCAAGGGCTGGAGAGGGAACTTGACATGCTACTGGTCCTCCTGGACACCATGTCCTGTGTCTTCAACACAAAGATGACCGACATTCTAGGAGCAGGGCCAGATGCAGAGGTGAAGAGAGAGGGATCTGTGGAAACAGCTATTTCAACTAAAGCTTCAATGAGAATAAGTTCAGGGTCAAAACAAGAAAAGATTATTTCCTCTCCAAAGCTGGCTGAAAGTAACAACTTATACCTGGATGGTAAAGGGCAGGGGGCCCGGGAGGACCAGTAGCACGTGACATACTGTGCATGGAGAGGCAGAGATGCCTTTCGTCTGTTCCTTTTCTTTTCCCTTGCCATTTCCAATTCCCTTTTCTCTCCTCTTTTATACCTCTGGTATTCCCCCAAATGCTTAGATAAACTTTATTTTATTTAATTATTGTTAAAGTTCTTGGTGATCATGTACCACAAAGTAATATTTTACAAACCCCCTTGACATTGGGTGTCCACACATGGCCTTTGCATGCATCCAAATTATGCAGATGGGATTATTATTTACAATACATCTACATAAACAACGTTACGTTAGTTCTTCTATAGCCAATGCCAAGAACATTTAGGAATGTATGGCGGAGAGAGGGTCCCTATTTTGGCCATGGCACAGAACACATCTAACTGGTTGAGATGTAGACTTACATAAGCCACACTGGCCCTTGTTAGCCACATCCTGTAATGAGCTGGATGTTTTGGGCTAGTGAGTGAGAAGGAAGTCTACCCAGTCTGCCTCTCACCATTTGACTTGGTGACTGAGTGGATGGTGGTGGTACTGGAAATGCAGGAAGAGAAGTTCCTGGGGGTGGATAGATAGGGAAGAAATTTTAGGCATGTGGGGCATTAAGGGTCTTAGCAGCAATGTGGATGAAAATTGCCAGGAGGCAACTGGATACGTGTTACATAAGGTTCATTCATTCATCCACTCATTCTAGGATTTAACAAGTAGAACATAGTCTCTTAAGGCCAGACACAGTGGCTCATGTCTGTAATTCTAGTGCTCTGGGAGGCTGAGGCAGGTGGATTGCTTGAGCTCGGGAGTTTAAGACCAGCCTGAGCAAGAGTGGGACCCAGTCTCTGCTAAAAATAGAAAATGTAGCTGGGTGTTGTAGTGGGCGCCTGCAGTCCCAGCTACTTGGGAAGCTCAGGCATGAGGAGCCCAAGAGTTTGAGGTTGCTGTGAGGTGTGACACCGTGGCACTCTACCCAGGGTGACAGGAGACTGTCTCAAAAAGGAAAAAAAAAGACTTTAAAAAAATAGTTTCTTCATGAATATTCGCCTGAGAATTATCGCCACTTTCCTTTATTGCTCTTTTCTTGTTTTATTAATTTTTTTTTTATTTTTTGAGTATCATATGTTACTTTGGCTCTTTCCCAGTACGATTTTTAAACGACTCACAGAAAAGATGCAACTTACACTTCTTTGACAGTAGCCGTTACAAAATTCCACAAGATGATCACACCATTTAAGGTTCCAGCGACAATCAAATTGTAGCCTTCTATCTGTAATATATCAATGCAGTTCACTTCCAAACCGGCAATAGGATTCTGAAGAAAGAAAGCAACAAAACCACAGCCGTCACAACATAATATCTCATCACGGTACAAGTGCACACTTTGTAATTCTTCTTGACTTAAGATAATTATTTAAGCATTATAATGTTATTAACCCTAGAGCATAAAATTTAGTAAAATCTATTCTTTCTGGCATTAAAAAATTTTAACGTGCAGAATTCACTGAAACAACAAAATATATTCCCTCTCTTTCTTGGTCCCTTCTTCTCAGCTTTGATTTATTCTTCCTTACCCCCCATTGGATTACCTTCTTACCTTTCTCTTCCCTACAAGCTTTTTGAATGAACATCCTGCATGAGCTTTGCCCATTTACTGGCCTTTCTTTCACTTGACAGTTTACACCATCTGCTTCTGCTCCAGACCATTTTGTGGGAGTTTTTCCTATTTATCACTAAGGACAATTTATCCTGTTGCCTGCTCCATTCTATACTTCTCAATTGCCTCGCCACAAGCATTTGTTGGGCACTAACTTAGACCACAAAGTCAAACAGGATGTCTATGACGTGGAGAAACTTGTAATAATTGAAAAGTATTCGGATAAAGTGTTGACTTCTGGGCTATTTGAAAGTGCTATGGCAGGCATAGTAAGATTTGATGAGAACGAGGAAAAATAACATCTACAAGACATTAGGCATTTTAACAATGTTGATTCTTCCCAGCCATGAGCATGGTATGTTTTCCCATTTGTTAACATCTTCAGCTATTTCTTTTCTTAGCGTTTCATAGTTCTCTTTATAGAGATCTTTCATGTCCTTTGTTAGGTAAACTCCCAAATATTTCATCTTCTTTGGCACTACCGTGAAAGGAATAGAGTCCTTGATTGTTTTTTCAACTTGACTATTGTTGGTATATATGAAGACTACAGATTTATGAGTGTTGATTTTGTATCCTGAGATGTTGTTATATTCCTTGATCACTTCTAAGAGTTTTGCAGTAGAATCCCTGGTGTTTTCCAGATATACAATCATATCATCTGCAAAGAGTGACAGTTTGTTCTCTTCTGACCCTATATGGATACCCTTGGTTGCCTTTTCTTCCCTAAATGTGATGGCTAAAACTTCCATTACAATGTTAAAGAGCAGTGTAGACAATGGGCACCCTTGCCTAGTTCCTGATCTGAGTGGAAATGATTTCAGTTTAACTCCATTCAATACGATATTGGCTGTAGGTTTGCTGTAGATGGCCTCTATCAGTTTAAGAAATGTCCCTTCTATACCAATTCTCTTAAGTGTTCTGATCATGAAGGCATGCTGGATATTATCAAAAGCTTTTTCTGCATCAATTTAGAGAATGTATACCTTAAAGAAAGATGGAGACTTTACCTCCTTCATGTTTACATGGATGGAGCTGGAACATATTATTCTTAGCAAAGTATCTCAAGAATGGAAGAAAAAGTATCCAATGTACTCAGCCCTACTATGAAACTAATTTATAGCTTTCATATGAAAGCTACAGCCCAATTATAGCCAAGAATATGGGGACGGGAGAGAGGGAAGGGAAGGGAAGGGAGGGTAGAGGATGGGTGGTGGGAGGGTGATTGTTGGGACCACATCTATGGTCCATTTTACAAGGGTACATGTGAGTCTTTCTAAATGTAGAATATAAATGTCTGAACACAATAACTAAGAAAATTCCATGAAGGCTATGTTAACCAGTTTGGTGAAGATATTTCAAATTGTATATAAAACAAGTACACTGTACCCCATGACTGCATTAATGTACACAGCTATGATTTAATAAAATAAATAAATAAAAGAGATTAGAGGTCTATTACCACCTTCATTGTCACTCTAAATTCTTTTTCCTTCCTGAAATTCCTTAGTCTTTTACCATCCTCAACATCACATTTTCCTGGTTTGGTTTCTTTTCTGTTTTCTTTTCTTTTCTTTTTTTCAAAGTTTCATATCATGTATTGTAAAGCACTAAACAGGCATTTTAAAAGTGAAAGTAAACATCAAAAAAGGACATTTATATCACAAAGCATCAACCACATTAATAGTTGCAAATACATTTGCTGAAATGTGTACATTGACACTAAATTCTAAAAACAAGCCAATTTTCATTTCTACACAGAAATATTAACCTACCATCAGTAATGATATTTAGTACATTAAAAATAAAAACCCAATATTTTAAACCAAAAGCAAAATTAAGATCTTTATTAAGTTGTCTGTGTCCCTATAGTTAACAAAGGTGTTTTAGATCCACCCAATAAAGCAAATACTGTATTGTCCACTTCTTATTGGCCCTGAGGTGCTGGAGGAGGCTGTGGCATTCCCTGGGGACTTGCCTGGGCATAGTAGGCTGCCTGTTGTTTGTCGTACTCAGCCCAGGCTGCCCTGTAATCTGGCTGACCACCCGGTGGAGCCTCAGTAGGAGCAGGGACTGCTTGATCCATTTTCTTGTACTACTCTTCCCAAGCCGTGGTATAATCAACCTGTCCAGCTGGAGCTGGCTTCTGCTGATCTCCTTGTCCATTGGTCTGGGCTGTAGTTGATGCACCTGAGGGAGCTGCAGGTGGTGGCTGTGCTTGCTGCTGATGATAGCATGATAGGCTGCCCAAGCTGCTGAAGTTGCGTTTGTTCTTGCTTGGCTGGATCAGCAGGAGCCTGCTGCTGCCAGTGTGGAGATGCTCTTCTGCACCCCCGAGGAGCACATAGGGGGCTGGAGGACCATGAGGAGCAGGGCCAGGTGGTCCTAGATTATAAGGTGCAGGGTTGCATGGTCCCACTAAAGTTCTAGGCCCTGGAGGCCCATGAGGCCCATGGGGTACAATGGCCCTAAAGGATTTACTGGGTCAATCTTTTCTTCTATGAGTTGCCAGACATAGTCTATTTGCTGTGGAGTGCCACAAATTGTAAACAACTTCATATTAGCATCTGCGTTAGGTGAAGGATTTCTCTGAAGTTCTCTTCTTGCACCAGACTGTTGGTTTATGCTTTTTATGGTTTCACCTCCTTTTCCTACTATTAATGCGGGTCTCCTAGTTGGCACAATGAAATTAAGTTCTTGTAATCCACCAGGTGGTCCCATGTTCCATTGGCCTTGACCACCCTTGAACACCCATTGTTCTTCCTTGACCACCAGGTCCAGGTGCACCTGGATTACCAGCCTACTTTGAGGAAGGTCCGTAATAATTACTGCAGCATGCTGACAATGGTCTGTAGGTCCTGTTATTTGTGCTATCCTATCAGGTGTCATGTTGTTCTATCATCTGGCTTAAAGTGAATTCAAACATCAGCATCAGCATCATCTTGTAGGTTTTTGATCATCCCATTGTTTCTTCCTATTAAAATACCAACAGCAAATTTTAGAATGGGAACATCTATCCCTTCACTTCCTATTCATGACCTATACTCATTTTGAACTTCTCTGAAACTACCTTGATCACGTATTAACTCCAACACCATTTCCTTGGCTTGTTGAACTTCATATGGGTCTTCTGTAATCTTCAGAGGTTTGTCTGCACCAATATTCTGAGGCCCATCTTGAATCATAACCATTTTAACTCCAGCTCACTCATGAAGTTGTATAATAGTCTCTCCCCGCTTTCCAGTAACTAATCCTACCTAGCTAGCTGGAATCATGATTTCTTGAACTGCATTTCCTGGTCCATTGCCATGATAGAAGCCAGGAGCTGGTCTTCCTTTTTCAACAATCTTGTCCAGTGACCATTTTGCCAGTTAGACCAATTCAGGTGTTCCAGTTAACATGCATGACCTTTCTGGAAGGACACCACTCTCTGGAGCTATCTGTATTTTGCATCCAGATTCTTGCTGTATGCGTCAGATCTGCTCACGTCCTCTGCCAATTATAAAGCCAGCCATTCCATCTGGAACGTTGTATTCTTCTGTCTTTACAGACCTTTGCTGCTGATGCATTGATGGTAACCGTGTTCCAAAAGAGTCATTTTGAGGAGCAACTTTCTTAGCATCTGGTTGATATTCATCTTCTAAAGGTCTTTTTGTCCTCCATAACCACAGTCATTTGACTTCAGTCATGTCTCAGCATCACCTCCAATTTTTGCTGCCATCTGCTGGGCTCTCTGCAGGGCATCTTTGAAAGCCTCATTTACTCCTCCGCCACCCCCAGCTGAGCCAAAGAGGGTGGAGGCACAGTCGACTAGTCTGCCATGGCGACACTGCAGTAGTCACCGCCCCTTTTTCACAGAGACCGGCTCTCAGCTAACAGCTAAGAAAGGAAGAAAACGGCTTCTATTTCCCAGAACACAGAAAAGTACCCTCTCACTCTGTGAACATTTAAAAGATTAATATCCTTAGGTTTCACCTCCAGTTCATTTACTTTTTTCTTTTTTTTCAATTCTTGCTGAGCAAACTTATCTCATGTTTTAATAATCACCTCAATCTTAATGACCTAATAATCTAGTCCAGTCACCTCCCGCGAGCTTCAGACTTGTATGTGTGATTACTTAGATATTTGTACAGGTATCTCAAAGTTCATACATCTAACATCACTTCCTTTAAGCGTGTTCCTTCGCTTTTATTCTTTGTCTCTCTCTCTCTTTTTTTTTTTTACATATACATGTGTTTATTAGGTTTTCATTTTTTGCCTTCACAAAATTAAAAAGGCTTAACGTTGAATAACAATAGCAATGTTTAAGAAAAGGACTAGAAACAAAAACCTCGTAAAGAACGGATGAAGATAAATGCATTCAGAAAAGAAATCAGACGAATGCTGCATCAAAATATTAAGCAATAATAATAATAATGCAAAGAAAGTCACATCTCCATCATTCAAGTTAGAAATCCTGGGGGTGTCCTGATTCTTCCCAGGGTCCTCCTCTTCACTGCATGGCATCAATCAATCACTCATTAGTCAACTACAAGTTCTGCTACTTTTACTGCCTAAGTATTTTTTGAAATAATTTCTTCCTCATCATTCCCACTATCATGGCTTTTCAACTAAAACAGCAGCCTACTGCCAGAACCTTCTGCCATTAGTCTTGTCCCGTT